ATTTAGTAAATTTGAATAACCTTACGCTAAAGTGATTCTCCAGAGTTCAAGTTACTTATTATAAAAGTTTGAAATTTCTGGTAGCTTTTTTTCTGTTAATAAATATAAATTTAATCTGTTCGGTCAACGAATCTCCATAAAATGACGTGTAAAATTACAATTTTTTAAAATTTCCGTAACTTTTTAACGGTTTAGTGAATCGATTTGTAATTTTTTCAGGAGTTTTTGAATTGAATGAGGAACGTTCTTCCAAATTTTTATTTGTCTCTTAGCATTTTGACCTTAAACTATATTGAAATTGAAATTAAAATCTACAACTATTCCATGCTTGGGTTATACAAAAAGAAAGTTTGGCCACATCCCTTCGCCCTTCGTCGAAAAAGGTTTCTTTTTCCAATTCAAATCAATAAATTATGACAAACTAAAAATTTTTACGAAATTGTCTAAAAAGACAATTTTATAAAAGTGTATGATTTTTGGAAATCGATAATTAAGAAACATGGATTCAAAACTGAACAATTAAAAGTTCCAAGTTAGAAACAGGTTTTAATTTTTTTTTTTTTTTGTTTACTAATCTTGCAATTTTCATTGTTTTATATGTTATTGCTATAGAAATACTTGAATTAAATATTTCTAATAATATCCAACAATACATAATAAAAAAAAATCAAGTCCATAGATATAATTAAAAGGTCCAATACCCGACATTTGTAGTTGAAAACAAAAAAAATTATGTAATAGTAAAGTAGGTACGTATTTCATAGCGCAGTTGCAGTATACCTATCCTTTTCCAACAAAGGGTTATTTTATTTTTTTAAGGTGTAACCTACCCCTCTCGTACTTTTTTATTTTTTTTACGCTTCTAAAATCATTAGAAACTATTAATACAATCAAAATCCTCCTAATTTAGACCGAAATCAATTATTTTATTAACTTTAATGAAACGTATAGAAAGAGACAGAGATGTTTTGGCAATTTACCTTGTTAAGTTTCGTTACGTCATTCTAGAGAGCAGTTGAGATTGACAACTAAAACACTGGAGCAGTTTATATTTAATATTTAGTGCAAATTAAAAAGAAAAAATGTTATCAGTGTGTAGACAGTCTTTTAGTTCAAGTTTACAAAGGTCAGTGTATTTCAATATTGACAACACACTTTATTATTATGTTTATCTCATTAAGTTTTACTCAGTCTTACAAAAAAAACAAGTTTGTTTGTAAGCATAAATGTGATTTGGACCCATTAATATGTCTCCTTTAATTAATTACTGAAGCTGATTGTATAATAATTCTAATCAGACATTAAAATGTTTTGTTTTGAACTGTGGAAATTTCCACTGCACGAAAATCAATATGCCACATATTGAAACTTTTTCGTGCCTTCTGTTACATTAAATTTCTTGTTTCTTTGTTTTCGTATTTAAAAATATAATTATTCAATATACGCCCTTATTTTCAGTAGAATATTTACCTACACTGATGGGTATTACCCTAACAAAAACTATTTCAGTAGTGTCACCTACATTTTCGAAATTTACTATTTCTATTTTAAGAATTGTTTACTGAAATTGAACAAATAGACAAGAGGTTCAAACTCTATTTCTAGTTTTATTTTAATTAAAGTTAACTCCATCTATTTTTGCGCAAAAATTATCCTATTTATTATTAACACACAACTAGGTCATAATCAAATTATTTATTATTCATAAAAAGTATTTATAAACCCCCCTCCTTTTNGTATTGGTTATTGAACTTTATTCAAACTTATACTTTAATATAACCTACGTTAAAATTTCCAAACGCTATAAGGCAGCTTGACATATTAGGCAGAGGCGTATCATTAGTTTTTCCCCCCTATATACAAATATTTTTTATTTAGTATTTTTTAACTGAGAATAGTTACTTTCAAGCATGTGCATGCATAATTATTCCTTCTGTATTCATGTCTTCATTAATTCAAGAAAAGTGCAAAATATAAGCAGTGGCGTAGAAAATTGAAATTTTAATATCCAATATATGTTTCAGAATTAGTATTCGATGTGTACATTCAGTAGTGCCAGAATATAAGCCTGAGGCAGATCTCCCTCAAAATGAGCCTATTTTAGATTATTTAAAGGGTTCCAGAGAACGAACTGAGCTGGAAGGGGAACTTAAAAAAGTTAGCGCAACTGTTGAAGACGTTCCAATCATAATTGGAAATGAAGAGTTCCGAACAGATCAAGTGAAATATCAAGTAATAAAAAAATATTTTAAATAAATAAATTGGACGAGGGAATTTTTACATTTTTTTTTGTAGGTTATGCCCCACAATCATCAACATAAAATAGCGAAATTTTATTACGCAACGCCTGCACTAATCGAAAAAGCTATAAAAGTCGCTACAGAAACACAAAAGACGTGGGACAGAACCCCTATGAGCGACAGGCAGGATAAACTTCTCTAATTATATTGCAGCACAAATATTGGAAGTAATAAATAATTTTCAGATTTGTGATATGGGAAAGAGCGGCGGACTTAATGGCCAACGAACACAGACAAAAATTGAACGCTACAACAATGCTCGGCCAATCGAAGACTGCATATCAAGCGGAAATCGATTCGGCGGCCGAATTGATTGACTTTTTTAGGTAATATTGTCCTCACAAAATAACTAAACAAAAGACAAAATGACAATAGACAAATTATAATGCACTTTATTTTATCGTAGGTTCAATTTGTACTTTTTAAAAGAAGCCCTACAGTATCAGCCTATTTCAACCACTCCAAAAATTTTTAAAAATAGCATGAGATACAGAGGCGTAGATGGATTTATGGCAGCCGTAGCCCCTTTCAATTTTACTGCCATTGGAGGAAATTTAGCTTACACTCCAGCTCTTATTGTAAGTCTCCAACAACCGAACAGGATAAGAATCCTTAGTCTCAATGTTACAGAAGTACAATTAATCATTTATCGTCTTGTAGGGAAATGCTATGCTATGGAAGCCCAGTGATACTGCTATTTTATCAAATTATACAATTTTCAAAATATGCCGTGAAGCAGGGGTGCCCCCCGGCGTGGTAAACTTCTTACCAGCCGATGGACCCACTTTCGGAAAAGCCATCACACAATCTCCACACTTGGCTGGAATTAACTTCACCGGAAGTGTTCCGTAAGTTCCCAAAAATGAAATTGTTTAGTTAAGATTTTCGTGACCATCCGTGGTTTACTTGACAATAGTTAATCATTGATTGTTTGCTCGGGAAGTGAAATTCGTATATATACACAGCATTCGTTTGTCTATTGGCTGAATTAAATATGGGCGGGACGTCTGAATGTCCAATCAGCGTAACGCCTGTATATCTATAAGAACTCCGCTCTGAGTATTTGGTTTCAAATGGAGTCAGACCTTCGTTAATGTTAGACATAAAAAGAATAAACATAACTGTTAACGTTAATTTAAACAGGGGTACTTCACTTGCAAATTTATGTTGTAGAAAGTCAATTTTCAGAATTTTTTATTTTTCTTTCAGTACTTTCAATTGGCTCTGGAGGGCGGTAGGAAATAATCTCGACAAATATGTTAATTTTCCAAAAATGATCGGAGAATGTGGTGGAAAAAATTATCATTTTGTACATCCGTCAGCGGATGTTGAGTCAGTTGTGAACCACACAATTAGAAGCGCCTTCGAATTTTGTGGACAGAAATGTAGCGCGTGTTCCAGGATGTACGCACCTGAAAGTTTATGGCCTCAGGTATTTTCTAAAAAAGTTTATTTCATTTATACAGCAGTAACAATTGAACGCAATTTTGTTAATTTATTTTTGTATGCAGATAAAGGACGGTCTTATAAGTAAAAGAAACACTTTAAAAATAGACGACCCAACTAAATACGACACATTCACTGGTGCCGTTATCGACGCCACTGCTTTCAAAAGAATAAAAAGCTACATCGACTTCGCGAAAGCAGGCAACGGATTAGAAATCGTTGCTGGCGGCAAATGTGATGACAGGTAAAGATTTAATATACACCATTTTCAAAAAACTGTGTCAGTACACAATAGTTATGCTCTATCAAATAATAACTTGTATACAGCTTATCTTATCACATATTAAAAATTACATTTGCATAGGGACACACTGTATATGCAGTTAATAACATACTTACAGCGTGTCCAAAATGATACTGAGGTATTCTTTAATAAAGGAACACTGTCCATGTGTTATATATAGTACTTTGGACGTATTGTATATAAAATTACTTTTTGTACATACAATGTGTCCAAAAAGAGTAAACGTTTTTCGGTCTAAAATTACATTAATTAATTACGAACTTTGTATTCATTGGAATTTGTCGTTTTTAGTAAAGGATATTTTATTGAGCCGACAATAATTTTTACCAAAGATCCGCACACTAAATCGATGACTGAAGAAATTTTTGGTCCCGTATTAACAGTTTACGTATACAAGGACAAAGACGTAAATAGTGCCGTGGATTTGGTAGGAACTAGCACCAGTTTCGCACTAACGGGTGCCGTTTTTGCTCAGGACGAGTAAGTTTTATTTTTCAGCCCAAAAACATTCATTTTCTCTTGTATCTTCATTTCGTTCGTTTCATCTTTTCTCCCTCTCCAACGACTATATTCACCCATTTTCCCACTTTTCCTAAAAGAAGACTGAAAAGGACTGTTAATTTCTTAGACAGACATTCGAGAACTTATGAAGAATAAGTGAATCGAATGGAAGTGTCTGAGAACTTAATATGGTCCTTCGAGCCGGATATCTGCCTTAGTCCACAATGACTCACAAAACTTTATAAACTTATTGTTCACTTGTGAACAAGGGTCTTCCACCCTACACTTTGACTTTGCACTAGAGTGTAGAGGCACTAGCAGTTGGTGGGAATAAAGCACCCATAAGGATGATTTCAGTTTGCTTGAAGGGTTTGAAACCATCTTTTTACTCAGCATTTTTCAGGAAATTCTTGAAAGACTCTTTGGAAACTCTCAAAATGACAGCTGGCAATTTTTACATAAATGATAAGTCAACTGGTAGTGTAGTTGGTCAACAACCGTTTGGAGGTGCCAGAATGTCTGGTAATAATAAAAATAATTTTTTTAAACTATTTAGTGATTGCTGTATTTTTAGGTACCAACGATAAAGCTGGTGGTCCCACGTATGTTTTACGTTTCGGGAATCCCCAGACGATTAAAGAGTCGTTTGTACCACAGAAAGAAATCTTTTATCCATACATGTTACAACCCTAATCGAATCCTCTCCTTTTCCAAGTATTAATTACTTATTAAAATTATTATTGTTACTTATAATGTGATAAATTTTTTTGAAAGTATTCCCTATATTGTTAAGGTGATTATTATATTACAAACCTAAAGGTATTGTTTTTTTTTGTTTTTATCGTACAATTTATTAGTGAATGTTAGTTGACTGTAAACAATAATTTTGTTCTTTCATATTTCCTGAAATTGCTTCCTTTTGTTATCACAGTCCAGGTGTTAATTAGGAACGACAAGTTACATAGCAAATATGTACATTTTGTCGTCAATAAGATAATGCGAACATATCTTTTGCTTTTTAAATGTAAAATCGATTGTCAAAAAGATAAAGATTATTTATTTATTACTATTGTTATTCTTAGAGAAAAATGAATTTTCGTTTTCAATTCTTTTAAAAAGACATGCGCACGGTATGGAACCTAAGACAATATTTGTAAAGTAGTAATATACACGATTAATAAACGTAAAAAAAAAAAACAATATAAACAAGATACATTTGTTGTGTTGTAACAGGTACCCTATCTTAAATTTGTGAATCGGTGTGTATATGCAACAGGCATGATAATTATAAAGTATGCTCTCATATTAATATTTTAAATTGTATGTATGAAACCTTGTAAGAGACTATAAAAATGCAAACTAGACTACAATTTAATTCATCTGTTAAATTGTAGATAGCAATATAAATAAAAGATAATAAAATAAATGCTAATCTACGATTTTTAATCCTAAATTTGATATTTTTTATTCATTTGTTTTCTTTATTACGGTTTTGAGTATAATTTGATTTGAATTTTTTAAGATGGGAACCCTCCTATTTTCTTATCAGCATTGACTTTTACATTTTAAATTATAATTGTCTGATTGTGAGAAAATTTTAGTAGGCCCTGACCGGTAACTGATTAATAATTAAACACCCTGTATAGCAGTATATAATACAGGGTAGCCATAGAAAATTTTCATTTAGGAGCTACTTATTTTTAGGAAGCTTTGTATTAAAATATGAAAACTAGACTGTGTAATTAATTATATATACATTAATATTCATTGCTTCTAGGACTTTTTGTATTTTTACTCTCACTAAATTGACTTTTTGTTAACATACTTTTTAATGTAATAATAAGTAGGACAACAATTTTAATTTTAGAATTAAGTGTAGGGCGAAATAATGTTTAATTATTTTTAATTTTTCATTAATTCCCTTTTTTTAACGGATGTTTACTATTTACGGGTTGTAATATATATTTTATGTTGGTAGAATGGAGGTAAAATCAAATGAAAGTTTAGTTGTGTTATTAGTTACTTTAGTTTTTATTATTTTTGATTGGTACAAAGTTGTAAACTGCGTTTTTATTTGATGGTCAATCAGGAAAATTTATATTGTGCTGCTTGAAATCGATTACAAACGATAATTTTATAATCGTTTTATGAAAGCGAAATACAAAAACACCCTGACAATGTTTTTTTTGCATGGTAAAGAGTATTAAGGGCAAAATGCTCGTGACATGACGCCATATTTCTAATGAAAATATAACTGTCAAACCTAAATCAAATCATGAAACCCTGTCAAAGTTGAATATCGTAAGTAAACAATAATAATCCGTAAAATTTTGATTTTTTCCCTCATATTCAGAGGGCACCTAACGGTACCAGTATTCAATTGTTTTACGAACTTTGCCTTTACCTAAATTTCGGTTGTATTTTGTAGGTCATGGTTGTTAGCACCAATATGGGTTCTCATCATGTGAACTGTGATTTTAATTCCTGCAGAATGTAAGAAAGTAAATATTTATAACATGCTCCAAACACGTAGAATCCCAATTACGGAAATAAACGAATACCTTACCTGCAAACTTTGTAAGGGTTACTTCATAGACGCCACGACAATCATTGAATGTCTTCATACCTGTAAGTGACTCAACTGTTTTTCCTTTTATTTTAAAATTTACGGAATCTACAAATCTCATCACAATACATTTATTTTGCTGATAAGTTGGGAAATGCTTTAAACTTAATAAATTTTAACATTAAGGTTATGTTTGGTTAGTTTGTGAAACATGTTTGTATCACAAAATTCCTTTTAACCACAGTTGTTTCTCTTAAACATCTTAATTTTCAGTGGATTCAGTTATTTAGTGTGCTCTACTCTATGCTTAGTATAATGTTCATTTATTGACAAGTAGCTTTATTTGTATATTGAAATGTTTTGTTTCAGTCTGTCGAAGTTGTATAGTGAAATATTTGGAGAACAATAAGTATTGTCCAGTATGTGATGTTCAGGTCCACAAAACTAAGCCTTTACTTAACATTAGACCTGATAAGACGCTGCAAGATATTGTTTACAAACTAGTCCCTCGACTTTTTCAAAGTAAGTTGCATCAGAGACTAAAATTGGCAAATAAATACTATTTTATGTGTAAATTTCATAGATGAGATGTGTAAGAGGCGTGAATTCTACACTTCTCACCCTGAAGTGCGCCCTTCTAATTTGGAACAGTGTGGTGAAGTTTCATACCAACATATTTTGAGCCCTGATGAAACAATTTGTATATCTTTAAACTATCACGGTCATAGTGGGCCTCCAAGGTTAATAGTTTGTAGTGTCTTAATATTTAATTGTTTTCATTGATGTATATCTTTCTTAGATATTTACGATGCCCGGCAGCAATATCTGTGGTGCACATACAGAAACTTTTAAGAGCGAAATACGACCTTTGCAAAAACCACCGCATAGACATTTTGCACAATCAGGACTGTCTCAATTCTCACCTCACTCTTATGGATATCGCCTACATTTACCTGTGGCGGCGGGTGAGTAGTTACTAACAAAAGAATTTTTTATGTAACTATTTTTTTTTTTTTTAACATTACAGAAGGGTCCTCTAGATTTGACCTACAGGATATACGAAAACACAGCTAAGAGGCTAAAACTCGACTCAAATTCATCCATTTCAGCGACTGAAGAAGACGAATCATCAGAAACAAAGAACGAATGGAAAGAAGTGCAGTTGAGAATAAGTGAGACTGGCGAAATGTGTGTAACAGGTGTCGATAACACTACGATACTCAACGAAGAAGTAGCAAAGGGTAACATGATTGAGATGAAAAGTGAAGAAACGTCTTCGAAAAAAGACATACCTCCGTTAAAACCAATCACCAAAACCAGTGTTACTAATACATGTGTTAAAAATAAAAGTATTTGCTCTGAAGAGGCAAAACCGAACGCAACAACGACAGCATCACAATTAGCAACAACAACAACAACAATAACCACAATAAATACTCCTTGCACTTCCGGTTCTTCAAACATCACATTCGCTTCGTTTGTAACAACCAGCACTTTGGCAGGTGCAGGGGGCACACGAAGTACCACAACTTGCACTTATACGACCCTGAGTTCAGTCACAAGTTGCACGACGTCTCGCAGTAACGATGGTGTCGGCAATGTCGTCAAAGATGAAAAGAAAAAGACAACGCCCTCTCCTAATGCTGTCGAAGATGTCTCTTCAATTTCCGTGGTGCCTTCCGAAGACAAACAATCAAAGAGGAAAAACTCCGGAGACGCCGAAGGCGAACCACCCTCGAAACAGCCCAAACCCACTATTTTGAATCATTCTTTAGCACTTCAGGGCATTTCTTTGAAGCAACAAAGTCCAAAGACTACAGAAAATGGGAGTAAAGATGTCCCTATCGTTGCCAAAACGACCACGTCAAGTAATGTTATAATTCGAAGTGTTACGACAGTTGTCCCGCCTATTAACGTCCCTGCAACTTCCACGGCCCCTTCAACATCTAATAAGCCGATAATAATCAATAAAAGTTATGCGATAACCAGACCCACAACTCCCGCTAAAAAATGGTCAAGTAAGACCACAGGTCCCGTTAGTGTGCCTTGCTACACCCCGAAAACCACGTATAATTCCGTTCTCAACGTTCCCCGAGTGTCTGCCGTCATTACAAGAACAGATCCAAAACCATCAACGTCAACACCCAACACTAAAAACACTTCCCAATCGTCTAACGCTGTTAACGTTCAAACGTCATCAATTGACACCAAAAGTTCGGAATTTAAACCTACTACTGTTGCTCAGGCAACAGTAAACAATAAATCGTCAGTTAAAGGATCTAAAACGACAGCGGTTCCGTTAGGGGCATACAGAACATTGCGCGAACCTCCGAAGTCGTGGAATTCGCAGATATCGAAAGCACATGTCCAAAAAACAGGCGTGGACGTTAAAGCAGGTGAATCTAAGAACGCAAAACCTGCAAAGTTTTTCAAAATGAGGAACAACATACCCAGATATTTGGGCAATCCTGCGTCTGGAGTAAAACCTATGTACCAAGTGCACTGCAGTCCTGAAAAGGACAAAGCCAGTTCCTCCGAAGTAAATAGCAAACCCGAGAGCAAAACGGAGATCAAAAAACATTCTATCGTTAAGATCGATCCAAAAACATTGAAACCCATCTCCGAAAAAGCTCCTGAAACTACAAGTCTAAGTAATCAGTCGGATTTGAAGATCAACACTAGTTCGGTACCGATATTCAATCCGTTGAAGTTGCAAAACTCTCCGAAAAACGAGAGAAAGTCACCTAAAAGTCCCCATTCACCTCCCAAAATTAAAACATCCTCGCCCACGTCAAAGCGGGATAAACTCAGTTTAAACTTTACACCGCCTAATCCTTTTGTACCCAATTTAACATCACCAACGCTTAATCCAAATCAATTTCTTTACTCAGCTGTACCCCCAGGATTTCCCGCTTACGATCCGCGAGTCGTTGCAGCTTATCACAATTTACTTTACGGTCAAGCACTTCCGTTTCCGCCCAATCCAGTACCACGACTCAATCTCGAACTTAACCAACGGAAATGTTTCGAGTCACCGGGGAGTCCTAAAATATCGTCGGTTTGTTCCATAACGTCCTCTGAAAGTATGTTGTATAGTTGCCCCAAAATGTCTGGAATCTCGCCACAAACTAGTCCTCGGCTACCCCCTGATAGTAACATGCTGAAACCTACCACTTTTGCCTCGACGACAAGCCAAAATCATATGAAGCATTACAACGTTTCGTCAGTGACCATGACTAGTCCAAGGACATCTACTTCAACGGATCAAAGTTCGACTTCGAATTCAAAATCTTCCGGACATCATAATATGAGTCAGAATCAGTCCCTTTTGAAATCTTCTAGTAGTAGTGAGAGTCAGAAGGACGAGAAAGTGGACCAAACAAACACCCAGTTGAACCCTAGAATTCCCACGTCCCGTTGTCAGGACTTAAGTCAATCCAGTTCTAAAAATTCCGCAAAGAATTCTTCAAAGAGAAACAACGGTAAAGATGGCGTTAAGCCAGAAAAGAGTTTAGAAAATGCAGTGGAAAAGCTAACCCAGAGTAAAACAAAAGAAAACGCTATTGCTCAAAAAAATAACGACAGGATTGCTGAAAAAAATAAGAACGAAAAACTTTCAGAAAATGATGCTGCTATCAACACCGCAAATAAATTTACTCCTACCACTACTGACGAAAAAAGTATTACAGAGCCGGACTCTAAGAAGAAATTAAAGGAAGAAAAAAGTGAAATGGTTAATGGCAGGCTTACAACTTCAAACGGGTCATTAGAATCGAAGAGTCTACGAAGTAATGATAAGGAAACGAAAAATTGCGAAGAGAAACGGGATTCGAACGGAAATCTACCAGCAAAGAAACTGTTGGATAATCGTAACTGTGATGAAAAGACGCACGACGACGCGAAAGACACGTCAACGGCGAAGGAAACCGCTGAAGATAAAAAATTACAAAAGACTACTGAAAACAGTGATTTGGGAAATAATAATGGAAACTTGCTTGTTCAGACTGACACTAAACGTTAAAGTTAAGGACAAAGGAAAATCGAGAACATTATATTTATTTGCCTACCGGTAGGTCTTCATCACTCCTGTTATACCATACGGTGTGTATATTTGGTAAAGTACAAACGTTACTATTGTGGCTCAAAATGAAGTTTGATTTTAATTTTCTCAAAATTACTAGGGACCCGAATAGAGCGTACAAAGATTTCTGCATTTTGTTGAGATTTGTGGCCCTAAACTTTTGTGACGCCTCCGGTAGTTCGAATTCTCTTTCTTTGTAAAAACAAAAGTGGTGATAATTTTTCGTAGGTTTTATGTAATTTGTTTTTCATATCAGGGAAAGTGCCTGCATGTATTAAGTAGCATTGTTTTTTATTTGAATTAATTTTATTTGTTTTTTATGAGTACGGTGCCTTTTACCGAAACTAAATGACCTTGAATGAGAAAAAAAATATGAGAAAATAATGAAAAATACACCAATTCTACTAATCTCTATTTTAAAAATACTCGCTTCTTAGTTGGGCAGTCTTTTCTGTTACGCTTCTTTGAAAATATTTGTAATTAGTTGTGTGAATAAGTTTTCATTTTTAGATGCAGTTTAATCCCAAGGCTAAATTATACTGAGGTCGACAATTTCGTGTTTGTTTTTTACACTTCCTAAGAAAACTACTGTGTAGAGACAGAAATAATATTTTAATTCCTTATCATCAAAAATATATTTTTGATGACTTCATAAATCGCCTTTTCATTATAATGGCGTGGTAATTTTAGGACAGCCTGTATATAATTTTTATACTGTTAATTTATTCAGAATGAAATGTTTCTGATAAAAACGTATTATTATTTTTTTGTTAATAAGACCTGAGTAGATGGCATTATTATTATTATGTTGTAGCCGAAGGAGAACGCCTTCCGAAGAC